ACGTCTAAATAGCAACAATCAATAAGTATAGGTACATTTCGACCCTAAAATTGACTATGACAAACCCGGAAACATTATTCATTAGTTGGATGAGTAATTATATTTCTTATCATTCGTATTTTTACTAAAAAGGATAAAGAAATATTCTTGCTTTTATCGAGTAGTAGCGGGACATACTTCAAAACAACACCACATTCATTCAATAAAAAAATACGCCCGTATTTATCCTTTGAATCAAAATATTGGTATGTGAAACAGAACAGAGCCCCATGCCATAAAATTTGGTAAAAAATAATAAAAAAGGGTAGTTGTAAAAACGCACCTGTGACAGCCATCTCCCATTCCTGGTGGTCGACATATTACCACTATACTTCGCTTTAGTCTTCGATTCGAGCAATTTCTCTTTTTGCAGCAAATGCTCGTGTACCGTTTCCTTATTCAAATGCTTTATCATATTTTAATTTACATTTAAAACAATCACATTTAACATAAAACAAATTAATTATTTAGAATTTTCATTTTCAATATCTACGCGAACTAATGCACTAGTAAGAAACACATGACTGAGTAAAAAGTTTATCATGTGAACGCCAACATAACCTTTTTGCGCGCTAAGAAAAAAAAAGAAATGTCAAATAAAGGCGCGAAAAGCAAACTTTAATAAAATTAAAAGCGAGTACGCACAAGTATCTTTATCTATTGAACGCAGCGAAATAAGCTTCATCGTACATCATTGTCTGCCCTCTTTGATGATAACTGGGAGTACATTATAATATGCCTATTTGCAGTACAATATTAATTTTCAGTAAAAGATTGTTTACCGCGGTTAGCAACTCAGGTCAATGTGCAGTTAACAATAACAAAGCTGTTATTAGCTCGTTATAAATCATTCATTGAATTATATCGCTTTTTACTCTGGGTGGGCTAGTGACGAATTTCGCCGATAATAGAATTAGGCATACAGAAACGTATAATTATCTAAATTCTAATTAATTAAAACGTATTTATGAAAATATATTTAAACTTATGAGACATGAAATCGGACAATATTAGGTACATCATTATCTTTTTTTGCTATTATCAGCTAACTTCGAAGTAGTGTAAGTACTTAGATCAAAACTGCTTAGTCAAAGCTATCCTGCTTGTAAGAATCAACAATTTTAATTTATTTTTTCTCAGTTATTTATCAATGCTTTTATTTTTATATGATAGATCAGCTAACAAGCAGATGTATTACCTGATGGTAAGCAATGGGAACTGCCCCAGAACACCCACAACATCTATTACCTAGTTGCAAATTCGCACCTTTTAACGGTTCCTTATGGATTTGAAGATAAATGGATTTGAGGAATTTGGAGATCGGAAGGCGAGGGAGAGACTGGGCGTTCATATAGCGAAACAAAATGTTGCAAGCATTTTTTCACGCTGGTTTTCTGTGAGACCGTGGTATGAGGCCGGTTAAAGGGGCCTATTCAAAATAAGCCAGATTGACTGGAGACCGGACTGAAAGTATAACTACCTAACCAAAATTGTATATACATATAGGTAAGTCTACATATACAATTTTGAGGATAGCAAATCTTCAATTGCCTACTCCTGGGGAAAGTCAGTATCTTACTGATTAAAAACCCCGTCCCTTCTTCTGCTCCGGGCTGGGGCAACAGTAGGTACATTACTTGCATTCACTATCCCTCAATTAATGGTATATTTTAATATATGTTATTCTATGTTAGAATTACTCATCATTAATTTGAAAAGCGAGAGTATTATTACATTGTCGTTAAGTAATTAAAGTATTCTGAAACTAGGTGACAAGCACAAGTGGTATTTATCACGTAATCCCATTGAAGGCACATTGCCTAGTTATTTTCCACATTTTCTTTACATATTGATAGTATTATCTATTCGTCGAGTGGGCTAGAAGAATCAATTATTGATACTAAATAATGAATGAAGAACGTAAAACAAGACCTTTATTATTTTCTAAAATCATTTTAAATATCACTATTCTTATAACAAGCGCATCCCCAGCGGCCATAATATGTGAGGGCCATAGTGGTTTTATCCTCTTTAGTGAGGGCCCAGCCCATTGTCAAACATAAGTCTAACAGAAGCTCAATAACATTTTTTAACATTTTTCCTACGCCGTATATATCAGTTTCGTCTAAATAATCATAGAATGTAGGTAAGTACATATAATTCGGAAAAGTCACAATCCTTGTTACGTGTTAATCTTAACACCATGCATGCAAATGCGGTCACTAGTGCCTACCTAACTCTTATGTATCTTCAGCTTAAAACACAAATCCTACTATTTTTTTCTGAATATTTGTTGTTATCTTACACGCTACAACTTAGTACTTAGTAAGGTAGTAACGTCCTTCATCAACTTTTGCCCCCTTATTACAAAACAAGGTTTCTCTTTGGTCTAGGTTTAAACCATTAAGTCAGCTTTTGTATTTTGAATCATATTCTCGGCTACTTCAATTTGAAGTAGGTACAAAAACTAGCCCAAAGGCTAAGACCTAGAATAAGAAAAGCCTTATTTTGGAATAAAGCCGTTGATGTTTATTTAACATTAGAACTGGCACAAACTTAGGCAAAGTACCTACCCCTTATATATCTTGGGTTGATAATATCTGCACATAATCATGGAAATAATTGCAGTTAATTGAAATATCAATGATAGTTTTACCTCGATATCTACTTACAGACGGATATGATTATAAATTACATACATTGTAAGAATTAAGTATTAACTAGTTATTGGACATGTCGACACGTAGGTACATGTCAAATGACCCGCGAACTTGAGATTAGCGTCGCGGGGCGCCATTATGATAACACTCAAATACAATCTTACTCAAATATCTCGTTAATTACATTCGTAGTTAACGAATGTAATTAACGAGATATTTTTATAAACTTCTACGTTTTAATTAAGTGAAAATCTGATAACAATTATTTTGAATTTAAATACTTAAAGTTAATCGAAACGTGGATGTCGCTACTGTATGCCGACGATATTTAGGTACCTATATCCAAAAATTACAAATATTACGGTGTTTCCTCATTTAAATAGTTCAGACATTAAGATACCTTATAATTATTATGATCTAAATGTTTCCGTTTTATATTCTGGCTAATTCATGTGAAAAATACGACGATGCTCACCACAATTCCAAAAAAAATCATCACCTACATAGCTTACAGGAAATCGAGAAGCGTGAACGTTTGCTTTGCCGTGTACGAATAGTTAATGGAGGATAATTTTCTCCCTCCCAATCCACAATTCCCAAAACCCCCAATCCTGTTATAGCTGGCAACGCATTTGTGACTCCTCAGTGTTGCGGAAATCCATGAGCGACATTGATTGCTTACTCTCATGTGTTCTTTTTGCTGGCATGCAGCAATATAACAAAAAAACTTGCCGTTCTAATTATACCATATTTCGATGCTTTCAACTAAGTAAACAGAACTGAATACAAATTAATATTGTACTATTATCTTTTATGATAAAGATAAGGAAGGTACCTGTAGCGCATGTAAAGTTACCTAGGTACTATAAGGTAGGAGAACACAAATCTTTATTGGCGTAGGTCGGGTGTTTTAAAGTATCTATCCAACAAACAAACAAAAGTATTTATTCGCGTCTAGGACGCATATGGGACATAAAATAAACAATTGTATAAACATAAAAAACAAAAAAAATGGTAATATAATATAAAAAGGAGTACCTAATATAAGGAAAAATAAGCGTCACAAACACGCCAAATGGCCCTCGCTCAGCATATGCAGCGATACTAGACTAGGGTGTCGCAGCCCATTTTCAGCGATGGCCGATCTATACAAATAGGTGTGTAGGTAAGTATATTTTATTAAATGTATTCTTTGAGATAAAAAGCTATGGAACGGTCTATGCATGGTGTTTCTTTGCGCAATCGAATCAGAAATGAGAAGATCCCCAAACGAACCAAAGTCGCTGACATAGCCCTGGGGATTAGTCAAGCACCGATCAGACGGCACGACTCTTCGTGCCATAAGTCCCTAAGTTGCGATGGATTGAGTGGTAATATAACTGTTATGTAGTTAGTATCCCTAAGTCGTGGGATCGAGAGTGCCCGACTACTCAAAGTCCTTAAGTCCCAATGAATCCTGCCGTCTGATCACCGCAAGCTAAAGGGCAGTGAGCAGGGCAACCGAAGACCATTCGAGAACCTTCCTGGGTTCTCTAATGGTGGTGACGTACCGGCAAGCGCATGACGTCCTCCCACAAGGTGGATGGACGACCTAATTTAGTTTTAAAGTTGCAGGGAGCCGCTTGTTGTGTCTTCTAGCTGGTCTATCTAGAAATTATTGAGGGAGGCCTATTTTTAGCAGTCGTCTTGTGGTTGTTATGATGATTCTATAAGATTCTAAGACAGCTACTATCTACCAGTATGATATATTCGTCAATCTACGATGTTATCTTAACTATCTTATCAGTCAAAAAATTTTTTGTTTATTTGTCCCCACTATGTGGGTAATTAGGTACATACTTATATATAATATAATCTAAGTACTGTGACAAAGACGAATTTCTTGTTAGTAAGTACCTATTTTTATCTTTTAACACTTTCGATGAGATATTTCCATCGTATAGTAATAATAGATAAGTAAATCGGTACATTTTTAATTCCTTACAAGTACCCGTAACTACAAGTGATAAATAACATGATAACAGTTATTTACAACGTTTATCAGCACAGAACAAGTGTTAGAATTATGTTGACATACCTATTTATAATACTGCCAGACATCTTTCAACATTCATCCTTATTGTAAGGCTACAAACTACAGCTCTGAACTGGATGACACACTTTGTAAAGAAAGGTGCATTAGCCGCGCAAAAGAGAAACAAAAGAGGTTAATTACAACGCCATCTATTAGCATATCCTCAAACTATTATTAACAAGGAAATAACAACAAAAATAGTTAGATAATGTATTTATATGACTTACCATGCTTGTAAATGTGAATTTCTTCGTTGCTCTGTATTTTGGACAGCGTAGGGAATGTTTTTTGGTAAGCACAGGAGGGTCTTGACGTAAACTTGTGTCGGGATCTCGCGAACTGACTGCCGCGATGCGGGCGACCGCGGTGCACATGTTTTGCGCCTAGATAACGTTATGATTATATTTCTAATGACTGGTTTATGGGCTCGCTATGGTTTAGATTATAATTATCTCTGCTACCGTAGTTATTTTAAATACTTCCTACTTTTTTGTTTTGATGCTAGTTTTTTTTTTATTTTTTGTTTGAATATTATTTCGTTGTCTATGTCAACAAAGATTTTATTACACTGTTGTGGGTAGGTTTATAATATATGTCGCGGAAAAATTAACGACGCACGTCTTCTTAAAGTTTTGTAAATCTTTGACAAACTCAAGCCCAGGAACACTAAAGAAAAATCCAATTAATTTGTCGCGATAATTTAATAAAAGGTAAACAATTCTCTCACGATATCTAATGGCATAAGAAATTTCTTCACAAGGAGACATTGTATTTATACCAAAGACAAGCCATTATGTACGAACATCCTTTTTGTATAAAGGCAGGATTAAGCATTGCAATCGAAAACGCACAAGGCAATTTCAATCTTTTACTGGTACATTTTAAGTTTCAACTGGTTCGCCAGTGTCAATCGTAGAAGATAAATAGATAAATAGTACCTAACAATGGCTTGTAGACAGAAAGATTAGGTCTCTAACAATGTAACTTTAGTTAATAGGAATACCTAGGTAGGTATTTAGGTACTTAGTTTTCTACCTAGTCTTACATCTTTCTAATTTTATAGGTACTTATGTGAATCCCCAAGGGCCTTCTTATTCGTCGTTGGTAGATACCTACACTTACAAAGAGGTTGTTAAGCCTAAATACTTTACGTTACACGTAAGCAGATTGCACCTGCGTGGCCCCAGTGCCCTCATCCTAATGTTTTCTTCTGTGTTGTTGGTGCCTCTGCAAATTTCTTTTAATACTTATAGCGTCAGGCAGTATGATTCTTGCCCTTTCTTCGTCAGGGTAAATTCACCAAATGACTTCTCCCGCCCATGGTAAGCCGAGAGGAGTGTCAGCCTCTTACTGACTAAAATCTCCCGTCCCTTCTCCTGCTTTAGGACGAGGCCACGGTGCCTCATTGTGCTTACCCCGCAACCCTATTCGTAACTTTACCATTACCATTCGAGGAACTATGATAATAGCTTAACAGCGACAATACTATTAGGTATCGCTGTTAGGCTGTAGGTAAATGTCCCTAAATCGGGCGATCGAGAGTGCCCGACCGCTCTTAGTCCCGATAAATTGAGTCGTTTGATCGTCGCTTATATGCTAGGTACGATTTGTGTATCGTTGAGTTGTTCATTGCGGTAAATGAAACCTCGATATACGCAACAGCCGGTGCCCAGCTGCTATGACGGCCATGAAAAACTAACCTCACCTCATTTCATATAGAATCCTAGAGATGTTTTATTATATGTCCCCTGAAGGGGTTCTTTATTTTGAGGAGGGTAAATCATCAAATGCCTTTCTTCGCCCAGGGGAATGCCAGAGGGAGTCTCATACTTACCACGGCCACGTTACCTCAAACAAGCAAGGCAAGCTCAGTAAGGCAGCGCGGGCTCGAGTTATCGAGTAGGAGAAGGAACGGGCTGATGCCCTAAAAGGGCCCCGACTGTAGACCGAGACGCTACGAGCCGCATGCTTGGTTCTGGTCCGTACTGGTACTACACTTTTTACAGCACCCATTTCTTGCTGTGAAGGTGTCAAATTCCTTACGCCATCTGGTTTTGGACTTTCAATAATTCTAAAGAACAAATCACCAAGGATTCATTTATTTGGTATTTTAGTAAATTATTACATAATAACTTACCTACTTTTGTTGATCGGTTCGTAACGCGCAACGGCAAAGGCAAAAGCAAGGGGCCTCAGGCTCCATTCTTGGACGACCAAAGTATAAACCCTTCCACACAATTCATGCTTCAGCACGAACAGGCCGTTTCAACTGAGTACCTAATCACTTCAAGACTACCGGCGTGAAACGCTTACGTTATGAATTACTTCCAAACAAAACACAAAAGGCCTGCAACGGGCATGTAACTCCTTGATGTTAAGGTAATGTCTGATCAATGGGCACCGCTGATTGCTTACCATCAGAAGTTCGGCCTGCTCGATGGTATATCATGTCAATAGGCTCAACGACCACTACCAGACGCATGCCATAGAGAGATACTGCGACTTGAATCTATGGAATATTAAGTACCTAGTATTCAGCAAGGTAGGACGATAATTGTAAAATAAAAGAACCAATTTTTTTCCAATTGATTTATTAAAAACAAAAAAATCTATCTACAAACATAATTACAATTAAGTGCTTTGTGATATTATAATAATGTGAAAATGTGATAGACAGCCTGTATTTTGTAGGCAACCGCTTGATAAGGACGCTATAGGAAAAACGTCTATATTACTATGGTCTTAAGGCGTTATTAAAGGTCGAAATTTTTGGACAATAACACCTTTGTCTATCAGTTAACAATATTTTCTGACATTTGATAAAACATCGAGGTTCTATATTCATATTTCAAAATATGAATACTTAAATCTCGAATTTAATAAAAGTCAATGACAATATTTTATGATGTTAGTTATCGATTAATAATTCCAAATTTGACAATTTATTGTTAGAATTGTATATCTACGGTGAAACAGGGTAAATAGATACTAGAAAATTCGCCAACAACGATTCCTTTCCAGTATCTATTCAAGCCTCAATTTCTTTATTTTTTCGTTTTATGGTACGTAAAGTTCCTTAGCATTTAAGGTACCTAAGAATGCGATTTACGTTTAAATCGTCTTCCAGTTTTTTATAATTCTCACTATTCGATGCGACATTATTGTCTTGCAATCACGCAGGACTTGTGTCCATAAGATATAATGTCTCGTCAAAATAATCGCAGTATGCGACAATTTACATTTATGGAATTCTAGTTCTTATATCCCAAATTAGTGTAGTGTCTAGTTAAATTTTTCTCTGTCCAGTGTAAAATTTATCTCCTTATAAACAGCATACATTCACAAAGGATTAAACCTCTTTGACAACTATTGACAAAACCACATAAAGATACATCACTAAGCTAAATAAACCAATCAAATAACCTAAAAAAATAAAATTACTAATTCAACCATTCATTTTGTGACATCAACAATTTTTTCGCGAACCATACAATACCAGATGTTTTTTCTAAACCTCCAATTACATTTTGGACGAGTATGTTTTAAAAATGAGTAGGTACCTAGTAACAATTTGAAACTTAAAAATAAAATTACTTAATTAAACACATGAAACCGTACGTTTTCGTGCAAAAATGTAGTTTAACTGTCGCTTTCTGTCGTACTCAGAAAACATCAGTGACTACTTAAATTATTCCTTTAGTAGCGGTTTTGTTCTAAAAACAATCGCTAAGGACTTATTTTCATAAACAATAAATGAATTTTGAGTAAGGCAGACATATTCGTACATATTTCGTGTAGAAAATATATATTTGACAGACAAACAGTTACTTATTTGACATTTTGAAACTGACTCTTAATAATTTCAATAACTTTAAAAATTATCTACACAGTTTTGCACGAAACTATACACTAACTACTACATGTAAATTGTGATATCTTTGGAGATGAAAACAATGAATTAAAAAACTAAATAAAAAGGAACTCTATGCGGCACAGCCTGCTTCTATAATGAACCTTATTCGCTAAAGCCAAACGTTCAAATTGGTAAACTAATGAAGTATTCCCGACAATACTGTATTCCCAGTAAGCTTTACACTAACAATTATGTTATTTCACACAAACAAAATTATTTTTCTCGTACATGACAGGTTTATTAAATACTTAAATTAAATAACCCCATTAATAATCAAAATCAAACAATAACACCCGAAACTAATGAATAAATCAACCAACATTTTCAGTCTGTGTGTAGCTTTCTTTCCAAAATACATATATTAAAAGTATCTAATGTATTTTCGCGTCACTAGAGGCACTAGTGTTGAATTACACCAGAACTTAAAATCGAACCGTTGACAACGTACGCTTAACATCCTCCTATATTAATAGCAGAGCCGAATTCATCATTAACGCCATCTAGTGATCGCAAAATCTATACTTACAAACTATTCGATTCAAAAATCGATGTAGCTACATATTAGGCCTTCGTTTAGGTCTCAAAAATGTACAAGGTTTCCTTAATTCTAAAAGGTATTATTCTATTCTATGAAATTGGTACCTACAGTATGACAAATGTCGCACTTTCTAACCTTAATTACACTCTATCGTCTGCTATCGCTCTTTTTCTAACAGTTGATATAAGAAAGAGATAGCATATCCAAACTTTTTTCAACATCGCGCTTTTATACGTAGTAAAGCCTTCTTTAGTCGTAAGAGTTGGTATATTACGACTGTAACAACTAGCATATTTCAAACATTTGCTATCTCTTTTTTATATAACTTTTAATTAAATATAATACACGAATTGTACAGTCAAACAAAGGTATTACTTACAGTATTCACGGGTGTTTTAGTGTTAGTAGCCTTTTAAGTTCAATTATGGGCCTAGATCAAAAACTAATTATGACAATTGAGTGTAAAAAGACGTATGAAGAACTTTCCACCTTATTACAACATGATATTGAGTTGAAAATCTTTTAAAACCTTTACCTGGCTTGCCAATGCCATTGTTCAACTGTACAAACTAGTTATATTATATAAGCTATATCTTATAGTAACCTATATTAGAATTTAATAACTAATTTAAAATAAATAAATTTAAATTACTCACTAGGGGTATTAGTTACTCTTTTAAATACAAAATCTACTAGTTTTCTGGTACTGCTTCATAGACATTAGAACGCGAATTTATGTACATTGAATTCGCGTTCCGTATATTATATATCATAAACTAAATATTATCCTAATTATAATAATATGAATCTAAGATCCTAGTACATTACAGAAGATCATTTTGAAGAATGTAAGTAAAAAAAAAATGTACCACAACATTCAACCTTATTGGTAAATTTTAGAATTGTAATGGCGGCGAAACAATCCCTCT